GTTTAGACATCGTGCTTTAGGCACCCTTAAAATATATCATAGATTAGCTGGGTCCTTTGAGGAAAGCGTTCGATGGAATCAGTCCTCTGAACATCTTGTTACCCTGGTAAACCAACCGACCCAAGGAGAAATGAAGCGGCGTTGACTGTGCATTAGTTTGGACCTCCCCAGCTGTGGTATCGCGCTTTACGTCTCAAGTCTTCGATGCTTGTTTGTTGATGAAACTGACGAGTATAGTCGCCATGACCGACATTGCCCAGAAAACTGGCGTGGTTGTATAGGCACAGGTGTTCGAAGCATCCAGCCCCATACGGACCATGGGATAGTGGCGCCAATGACGACGTTTCCTGTCGTAATGGAGTCACGTGAGTTGGAGGTTTGTATGTCTGCGTTGCTGGAACAACAAACCCTCTCTGACTTGAGCCTTCTTGCCGACGGCACTTAGCACGTCTGTTTTGGAACCAAATCTGTGGATAAAACAGATACTATGGGTAGAAATTGAATAATTGTATTCCCTGCTGTAAAATTTAAAAATATTAAAAAATAAAAATAGTAAACCTGATCTACAAAAAACTCGTACCCGAGCACATGACAACTAAGGCAGCGTCCACGCCACAGCGGAAAAATTTGAAACCGCGGCTTTATTTCTACGGTTTGGCCTATCGTCCACACTAATCTGTCACGAAAACGAAGCTCTTCGAAACCTGCGAACTCACTTCACGATAATCGTGCGATTTCCCTAACTGAGTTTTTCTCAAATACAAATCCAACGTAACCGGTGATTGTTGCGCTTTAAAATTCCTCCGCCCTACTGTGGACAGAAAACATTTGATGCCTTTTCAGAGTGAAACGTCCGTTTTCAAATTCCCCCGGCGTAGCTTGGCGCTATGTTCACCTACACAATCCCAGAAGCCCTCGCGCGTGTGTCCTACCTGAACTCTTGCCTCTGATAGGCCCATTCTCTTGGCCAGTGTTTCGCGCGTCAAGGCGTCTGGGTAGTGGGTCTGATCAAAGAGTTTCTCCAGCTCTCGCAGTTGTTCTCTTGTGAAATTTTTCCTGTTTCGCGGTGGTTTACATCGATGAGAACGTTTGGGTGACTCATCTAGGAGAAAAAATAAGTAGAAACAAATAAAATACCGAAGAATTCTAACGAAGCCAACAAAAGCCGCTGTCAATGACACGTAGTGCGATAACACTGGTCTCTGTCTCGTCGACACTGACTTGCATGCCCCATTAATAATTTATGTAAGACTAGGACTAATCCGATCCTTTAGTGTGCTAAAGATTTTATAACTTTGTAAAACAACGTTAAGTTCATCTGAGCCAGATTTCGAAGGACTCAAACATATATATGCAGGAGAAAAACCAACAGAAAAGTGAGTCGTTGAATTGCTTGTACAGAGTATAAACACCATTTTTAGTCACGTTTCATTTTTCTACCACTACAGTTTGACTTTTTCATGGTAAATCTTCCATTTCCTGTATCAACGTCTGCACCGCTATTTCTTTACACCCAGCTCAAGTTCGAAAACTTTTTTTTCATCTCAAGTGGGGAACAAAAGTTAAAGCTCAATCCACATCGCATGAGCTTACCGCGGAAAGCGTTCAATACATACACAGAGAAACGCAAAAACAGCGCAAAACAACACATACATTTACGGTGCATGGGAAATCTTTTTTTCACATTTCTCATTTCTCATAATTAAGTGCAGCAAAAGGGATCAGCTAGCTAACAGTTTGAAAAACTAATCACTACAACTAAGCCTACTGAATTAGAAAAGAAAAGATTTTGAAACTTGCGTTTGCGTCAATGTTAACTGCAAGGGCTTTTTTTTGTATCTTGATGTTTAATTACATAATCTTAGTGTTGCACGTTTATAGAAGTCCATTACCATGCTTAGAGACTGAAAATTTTAATTTAGTAGAATTGAGTGGCTTCAACGGATGTTCTTTCTGCCTGGAATTCGTATCAATATAACCTATTCAATACATCTTGTTATCAAATGCGTATTTTTCTACCATGAGATAAATTACAATTTATCAGGTCTTAAGTGCAAAGTCGGACCAAAGAAGACAAAGTATAGCTTGTTCAATAAGCCTTTTCATGCTTTTATAGAGACATGCACACTATTTTTTCTCTCACTTACCATGCATTTCTCTCACTGAATATCAAATCCGGAGTTAAAATGATATTCTCCAGTTGAAGATTTTATTTCTGGTCTCATGTCTGTTTATCAATATACGCTACTTTTTAAAATGCCGATCGCATATTGAATCCTGACGCCATTTTATACTTTTGCTTTGTTACAAAAAAGAGGAAACTGTCATTTCCAACTTTTTCTGTTCTCATCCAAAGCAAATCGTGTCACTCAAACTGCAGAGAAATTAAGACTTGATTTAATAAAGAAACTTCTGTTTTTCTCCTTGTGGTCAACCGTTGTCAAATTTGCGATGAACTCATAATTTCGATGACTTGCTATGACTGTTCATACTAACAGTGATATCTTGGATGACGTCTTGGGTCTATGGCTCGCTTGATAAAGGAAACTTCATTAACAACTCTAGCCATCAGCCTTTATTTGAAAATCGCTTTTGGTAAATTTAAGGGACGCTTGTGTCACTGGCGCACTTTTTTCAAATTTCAACCACGACTACACAAAGCACAGTTGAAGGTCCTGTTTTAAAGAAAGGAGTCTGAAATTTCAAAGAAATAGAATTGATAAACAGACATATAGCGATAAAAAAGTATATTAAGACTATTAAGTTAATCAGTCATGTTAAATTTGTAAGTTCACGAAACACGATGTATTGAAACGGCTAAATCTATTTTAAGTTGAAACTATCGTTTAAACTCTTGTGTTGCAGTTTACTAACAACTTGTTTGACCTTGAATGGCTTACAACGAGGGGAGAGATAACAAACTCTAACATGCATTTCTAAAGGATTTAAATATGAATAGTTTTCTTTCTTACCTTGAACATTATAACTTCTTATCTCGTTTTGTGGATCATCAGTTTGATTAACGCGTGGACCAGTTCGTTTGTCGCTTAAAATTTCTGCAATGCTGAATGGTAGAGACACTAAATTCGAAGAAGCAGAAGGCATATTGTTGTGGTCTCTCTCGGCTTTAGGGTCAGTCTGTGTTCTTCTGTTTTCCGGCTTTCCTTTGTCAAACCTCGAAACGAAAGCGGTCAGACCCTCCATTTAACATCAAATGGTCACTTACACAACCAATTGCGGTATATTTGTTTTCAGTTCAGTTTAGAAATGAATGTTTGGCGAACATATTGCTCTCTTCAGCTTTACGCAGTTGTCGGACACGCACCGATATTCACACTGGCGGATTTTGACACGGTTAATAAAACACACAAGCAAAACAATGATATTAGTTCTTAAGGATTGTTAATTAAGAGCTCATCGCTGATTAATCAATTTTATTATTTTCGTTATTAGTGACAGTTTATTAAGCTAAACTTTCGCCCCCTACCATTTGTTTCTTTGTGTTCTTATGGAACCACACCGCGTCCCACAAAACGCGACGGAAAATAATTTCAAACATTATTAAACTTAAATTTCAAGCTGCGACTTCCACAGTCAAGATGAAAATACCGTGCGCGTCCATTTTACAACAGGAAAACATCACCCTGGCACTTTCCCGCTGTGAAATTATTTCCTTATTAATTAAGTTCTTTCAGAGCTGTCAATGGTTTTGATAAATGCCTCACGCTTTGATGGTAAAGATAAGAGACAACCGCCCGCACATTTTGGAATTCTATTTTAAAATCATACAAGCAATTCATTGTAATCACGGCTAGCTGCCTTGAGCAGGAGATACAAAATTAAAATCACTTTCTCAGGCGCGCGTTTGGGCGGTTTCAGTACAAAACACGTTGTCATAATTTACGGTGCGGCGTTTCGCGTTCCCGCAGAGTAAAGAGTAAATTGACTCCCGCTATATTTCGCCAGCTTGCTCCTGTAACCAACTGTTCCTTTGTACGATAAAAATTCTAAATTATAAAGCCACTTAGGAGTTCCTGTAAACAGAATTTTTTTTGCAATGATAATAGTTTGGCTCGTTTCTTTGCGCTTAAACCTAAAATTATGTTGAAATGTGCGAGGGTAGATATCTATCTATGATGTCCCACCTTGTTTCTCCCGTGGTGGTGTTTGACTTAAAATTAATCTCCACAACATTCTAACCACAAGCAATTAAAGAGATTTACCAGTTGACAGACATTCAAGAAACTCAGTGTTTTGAAAAAAATTCAAACTGTTGATACGAATTGTGGTTTAAGTAACTTGCCAGAAATAAGAGATTTATTTTAAAAGGATAATTTTCTAACTGTACTTGAGTGATTTCAATGTTTGGGTGAAACTAGTATAAGCGATCAACGTTGTTTGTCAAAATATCACGGGGTAATGGTACCCCCTGTTAGGTGACTTCTGTGTTTAGTTTAATATATACGTGCTTATTGTGGATACCTCAGTTTGAACTCTTAAACTTGCTGCTTTATATACCAATGGGAAATTTTTTTTCACTTTATATTTTCCTGCGACTTTCCTTGGGAACGCGCGAAACCAGTGTTAGCGTTCGCCATGTCTGCCTCACAATATTCACCAGATGAAAGTCTGTTTCGTTAATTTTTGTGGCATAGTGTTTTCTAAAACACCTTGTATTTCCCTTAGATCGAAATATCTCGTAATTAAGTTCTTGCGGTCGTGAAAGGATAACCTATAAAACAGTTATTAGCTTTTTTAATCAGATAATTGAGATATCTTTCATGCAGTCAAAGTGGAAGACGTTAAGTGTGACAGATGTTGACAAAGAAATTGACCTTGGCAACGAGAGCAAGAAACGATGATGGTAAAGGTTGTTACAAATAGAAAGAAATACCTTCAAATCTTATCTTCATTTTGATTAACGTAATATCGATGACAAAAAATAGTTGAATTTTAAGGGAGAAAAGTACTTCCAGGGCAAAAAAGAGAGAAAATAGTCTAGGACTTTATTCACACCGAAGCTATGAAAATCCGACCACACAGGAAGCTAAATTGTCACGGGACTGCAAGAGAGATGCCATTTGTTAACCTTGATGGTTTTTTAATATTTTTGCAGGGACACCTAAAAGCATTCTGATGAGTGTATGATCAAACTCCGATAAAAAATAGGGAGCGAGGGTAAAACCAGCAAAACCACTTTTTACCACCGCATCATGATTTTCTATTTATCAGATCTATTTGACTCTGTGAGAGAGAGATTCCCTCGGGAAGGGAGAGGGAAAGGAGACGCTAATTTGTCATTTGACTAGCGTTCTCGCTGTGGCTTCTTTCATGCCTTCCTAGGGCTGTTAACCTGTGAGTTTTAGCCCACTGTGCGATTCACCCGCCTAGCATTGCGTATTCTTTTTTTCAGCGTTTTCTAGGTTATACTGTAAGTTTAAAAATAGAAGAACCGTAGCCAGGACAAAACATATTAAAAATTTATAAAAATCGTTCACTGGCTATATTAAGTTAAAACTTTCAGCGCTTTCGGCTGTCAGACTACAGCCTTCGATGGATAAAAATGGAAAAGATAACAACCACAAATATATACAAAAATAGGTGGAACTATAAAAAGAATATATTGAAATGGAAAAATATAAGTGTTAATAAACTAATTGTTCTTTTTTAAAAGAATAGAGTATTGATTGGGGAGCGGTCTAGAATTGTTATCTGCATGATCTATCGAAGCGGTGTGCCATGATTCTAGCATCTTGCGAATACGTGAAGAACCCTTGTCAATTACTTGGGAATTTTTAAAGTCAA